CCAAGTGCTACCATCTGAACGTTTGTCCAGCCCCCTCAAAGCTCATGATGACATTTAATTGACACTGTGACAGTATTGGGAGTTAGGGCCATTAAGAGGCATTTAAGAGGTTCCACCTCCATGAAGGGACTAATGCCCTTATCTGGTTACCCTGGAGTAGGTCGCCCTGTTTTGTGTGCACATGCTCAGACATGTGTGCAAGCAATCTCTCTCTCTCTGCCCTTCCACCATGTGACAATACAGCAAGAAGGCCCTTGCCAGATGCTGGCACTAAGAGGGGGAAAAAAAGAAGTTTTTTGTCTGAGGAATGTGAGCCCCTTCAAATTATCAGGCCCAGAGCAGTCATGTCTCACTGCCCCTTGAGCTAAATAATTACGTCTTGAAGCCACATACTAGTGGTCTCTAGACCGATGCCAAGTCTCTATAAATGCCATATACTGCACACCGTAACTCACTCTCTCACCCTGTCGTTCAACAATGTAGAGCCAATCACTGATCACTGTTCTCTCTTAAATCAGTGAGAATTCCTGTCAAACAACTTTGTATCAGCCCATTCCTTTGCCTTTAAAGCCTGCCAGTAACCAAGGCCAACAGATCACTTCCCAAGGCAGCTTGGAAGTGTGTCCCATGCAGCTGTCTTTACTTTGGCTCAACTAAACACTTTTTTTTTTTTTTTTTTTTTTTTTTGGTAGAAGAGAGGTTTCACCATGTTGGCCAGGCTGGTCTTGAATTCCTGACCTCAGGTGATCTGCCCACCTCGGCCTCCCAAAGTGCTGGGGTTACAGGCGTGAGCCACCTCGCCTGGCTGTAAACTCTTTGTTCTTTTGGGTTTTTTTTTGAGACAGAGTCTCGTTCTGTTGCCAGGAGCCAGGCTGGAATGCAGTGGCACAATCTCAGCTCACTGCAACCTCCGCCTCCCGGGTTCAAGCAATTCTCCTGCCTCAGCCTCCCACGTAGCTGGGACTACAGGCTCGCACCACCACCCCCAGCTAATTTTTGTATTTTTAGTAGAGACAGAGTTTCACCATGTTGGCCAGGATGGTCTTGAACTCCTGACCTCATGATCTGCCCGCCTCGGCCTCCCAAAGTGTTGGGATTACAGGCGTGAGCCACCGCACCCGGCCAGTTTTTTTTTTTTTTTTAACTCTTTAATAAAATTACATTTTCTATCTCAGCTTCTTCCTTTTAGGTCAACAGTACCTTGAATTCAGCATCCTAGCATCTAAAACTGTGAGCCAAGACATTTCTTTTTATTATAAATTACCCAGTCTCCATGCATGCATATGTTCATTGCAACACTATGCACAATAGCAAAGACATGGAATCAACCTAAATGCTCATCAGTGACAAACTGGATAAAGAAAATGGGGTACATATACACTACGGAATACTATGCAGCCATAAAAAAGAATGATCATGTTCTTTGCAGGGACACAGATGCAGCTGGAGGTCATTATCTTTAGCAAACTAACACAGGAACAGAAAACCAAATACCACATGTCCTCACTTGTAAGTGGGAGCTAAATGATGAGAACACATGGACACATAGAGGGGAACAACACACAGTGGGACCTATTGGATGATTGGGCGGGGAGGAAGGAGCAGATCAAGAAAGATAAATAATGGGTGCTAGGCTTCATACCTGGGTGATGAAATAATCTGTACAACACCCCATGATACAAGTTTACCTACATTAAAAAACCTGCACATGTACCCTGAACTTAAAATAGAAGTTAAATAAATAAATGACCCAATCTCTGACATTCTGTTACAGCAGCACAGAACAGACTGAGGCACCCAGCCACGGATACGTAACTTCCCTTCCTTCCCCTTCCACATTTGCCACAGCTACCATCATTCATTTTGAAATCTTTCTTTTCTCTTTATAATTATTCCTTTCTTCTTGATACCCTCCCTTGCTATATGGGTATTTCTTCAGGAGAGGTGAAAAAAGAAAAGGGAGTTAAAAAAAAAAAAAAAAAAGACAAAGTAACTAGATAAATGGAGCCGGGTATGGGGCTCATGCCTGTAATCCCCGCAATTTAGGAAGCCAAGACAGGCAGATCACTTGAGGCCAGGAGTTCAAGACCAGCCTGGCCAACATGGTGAAACGCCGTCTGTACTAAAAATACAAAAATTAGCCAAGTGTGGTGGTGCACACCTGTAATCCAAGCTACTCAGGTGGTTGAGGCATGTGAATCACTTGAACTCTGGAGGCAGAGGTTGCAGTGAGCCGAGATCGCACCACTGCACTCCAGCCTGGGCAACAGAGCGAGGTTCTGTCTCAAAAAAAAAAAATTAAAAATTAGAACTAGATAAATGAAACTTCTACTCATTCTAACTAGTGTCCTGGGGCACCTACAAATATGAGCATGTTGTAACTGCTGTGTTTGAGAAGAGGAACCTGTGGGGCTGGAGGCTGGGGCAGAAACTCATTAGGGTCTGAGTCATGCCTCTGACACCACCTGCTGCATGGGTCTTTGTGCTGGTAGACAGTCCTGCTGGTGCTCTATCTTTTGTACAGCAAAGCTCCCCTAAGTTGATGGCCCTCTATGCAGCTGGCTATGCTTCAAACCCAAATATTTTGAACTCATTCTCACCTCACTATTCTCTAATTCCATTCTCTGCATGTTTGGTTCCTGGTTCCGACGCTTACTGGGTGTGTAACCCTGGGTAAGTCACTTGGTCACTGATTTTCAGTCCTATCGTAGGAAAATAGACTTGACAATACTATCTACCTCATCGGTTTGCTGTGATAATTACATAATGTACTACATGTTAGAGCAGTGTTGTGTTTTTTTGTTATATTGTTTGTTTTGTTTTGTTTTGTTTTGAGACAGAGTCTCACTTGTTGAACAGGCTGGAGTGTTGTGATGCGATCTCAGCTCACTGCGACCTTCACCTCCTGGGTTCAAGTGATTCTCACGCCTCAGCCTCCCTAGTAGCTGGGATTACAGGCATGCACCACCATGCCTGGCTCATTTTTGTATTTTTAGTAGAGACAGGGTTTCACCATATTGGCCAGGCCTGTGTCAAATTCTTGACCTCAAATGATCTGCCTGCTTTGGCCTCCCAAAGTGTTGGGATTACAGGCGTGAGCCCCTGCACCCGGCCTGGAGTAGTACTAATTACATGTTTGCTATCATTTCTATTCCTGCTCTCTAAGAGAAGACATATGGAAGGAAACAGCTCTAACTGCAGCAACATACTAACTACAGCTAGTGCTCGACTTACGACCACGGTTGGGACCGCAGACCAGTCGTAAGTTGAATAGGCTATATGTACAGTTGAAATGGTGCATGCGGAGATAGTAGTGCTGCCGGAAGCTGGTCCGCACTGTCGTACGCCCAGCTGGGCAACGTTTGCGCTGCCAGACGCGGAGCAGTTGTGGCTAGCAATTGTGGTCGTAAAGTCGAATGGTCGTAAGTTGCATAGGTGGTAAGTCGATCAACACCTGTACAAGAACCTAAAAGCTAAAACCCATTCAAACTTTTAGAAAAAAATGTTATTTTTAGTCCAAGAGAGACAAATAAAATTCTCCAACTCTCTATTCTGAAACTTTTAAATATTTTTTTTTTTTTTTTTTTTTGAGACGGAGTTTCACTCATGTTACCCAGGCTGGAGTGCAATGGCGCGATCTCGGCTCACCGCAACCTCCGCCTCCTGGGTTCAGGCAATTCTCCTGCCTCAGCCTCCTGAGTAGCTCGGATTACAGGCACGCACCACCATGACCAGCTGATTTTTTGTATTTTTAGTAGAGACGGGGTTTCACTATGTTGACCAGGATGGTCTCGATCTCTTGACCTCGTGATCCACCCGCCTTGGCCTCCCAAAGTGCTGGGATTACAGGCTTGAGCCACCGTGCCCAGCCACTTTTAAATATTTTGAATCAATCTCTTTTTTTTTTTGGAGACGAAGTCTCACTCTTTTGCCAGGCGCCAGGCTGGAGTGCAGCAGCACAATCTCAGCTCACTGCAACCCCTGCCTCCTGGCTTCAAGCAATTCTCCGGCCTCAGCCTTCCGAGTCGCTGGGACTACAGGCACGCACCACCACGCCCAGCTAATTTTTGTATTTTTAGTAGAGACAGGGTTTCACTATGTTGGCCAGGATGGTCTCAATCTCTTGACCCTGTGGTCCACCTACTTCGGCCTCCCAAAGTGCTGGGATTACAGGCTGAGCCACCGCACCTGGCCGAATCAATGTTTTAAAGATATCTAATTGTTAATTTCCTCATGACATCAAACAAAAAAATGCAAAAGAGAAACACTTATAATAAAGTTAAGCTTTTTAAGATTAATTCATGTTGGGGGGTGGTTTTGAAGCAGGGTCTTACTCTGCTGTCCAGGCTAGAGTGTATGATCCCAGCTCACCGCAGCCTTGAACCTCCTGGGCTCACACAATCCTCCCACCTGAGCCTACCAAGTAGCTGGGAACACAGGTGCACACCCCTGTGCTTAGCTAATTATTTTTCCCTTTTTTGTAGTAATGGCATTTTGCCATGTTGCCCAGGTTGGTCTCAAACTCTTGAGCTCAAGTAATCTGCCTGCCTCGGCCTCCCAAAGTGCTGAGATTACAGGGATGAGCCACTGGGCCTGATCTTAGTTTTTATTTTTTTAAGACAGGGTCTTGCTCTGTCACCCAGGCTAGAATGCATTGGCGTGGCCTTGGCTCACAGCCGCCTCAATCTCCTGGGCTCAAGCGATTCTCGCACCTCAGCCTCCCAAGTAGCTGGGACTACAGATGCACGCCACTGTGCCCAGCTAGTTTTTTTGTTTATTTTTTGTAGAGATGGTCTCACTATGCTGGCCAGACTGGTGTCAAACTCCTGGGCTAAAGAGATCTTCCTTCCTCAGCCTCTCAAAGTGCTGGGATTGCAGGCATGAGCCACCACACTCAGCTGAATTAATGCTTTTAACATATGTCTTATCCAACAAAGTAAAAAGGGCTATGTGCTCTGATTATTTATTTACGAATCTTTAATATAAAGAAGAAAACACACCTTATCATTGAAGAAACTATTGAAGACTGACAGTCCACAATCACTTCGGTTCTCATCATCTGCCACTTCATATTCTGCCTGATTGGAGACAGGGAAGAAAGGAGAAAAGTAGTTAAGCTGGTGTGGTGTGGTGCAGCCCTGCAGTTCCAGCACTCAGGATCACCTGAGCACAGGAGCTCGAGGCCAGCCTGGGCATCACAGCGAGCTCCCATCTCTTAAAAAAAAAAGGTAGTTAAGCTTCTTCACCGATAATGTTCCAAATTCTTTGACTTTCAGGATTGGTTTGATATCCTCAGAGCCACAGACCAATGCTATTGATTAAGTATCTATAGATCTTCTTTGGGAAAGTAAGGGGTAGGAGAGGGGAAGAAGTCAGTTTTTCAAAGGAGGTTAATGAAGTTTTAGAGCAATGCTTCCCATAATACTTTCTATGCCGTATTACATTTCATCCATTAAAGGTGTCCAAATAAAATAAACAGCTTAAACTGTTCTAGGCAACAGCAATTTCCAGATGTCCAAGGGACACTTGTGAAGCTAGGTCCAAAGCTCCCGGGGGAAGTCAGAACTGGTGATACCAAAGTAGGGTCATCTGCACACAAGTGCAGGGGACAGACCACAGGAGTGGGTGGTATCACCCAGGCCAGAAACCAGCAGAATGGTCAGCACACCTTGACCGATATCTAAACATGTACAGAGGATAGACCACAAAGAAGAACTGGAAAATAATTGATAAGAGAAAAAGAAAACCTAAGGAGAGGTCATAAATGTCTAGCTAAGAGAATTTCAAGAAGGAGCTAATCAATAATGTCAGCAGCCATAGAAACTCCAGCATGAAGATGCCTCACATAAAGCTACAGGGTTTTGCACGTAGCGGACCTTAAAAGAGTAGTGAAGCCAAAAGCCAGATGGCAGCTGAAGAGATAAGGCAGGAAATGAAGGCTGAAGGAAGTTGATCTACTGATCCCGTATCCTTCACAGGCCCAGCACAGCTCCATGACCATCAGCCTGATGACCCAGACAGTCCCAGCTTCACCTTCTACGTTCAAGGGCGCTGTACTCACTGTGACAAATAACAAGTATGCTGTTTACTTAAGGAACCTTTAAACTTAAGTGTGGGGATGGTGGCTCACACGTGTAATCGTAGCACTTTGGGAAGCCAACGTGGGTTGATCATCTGAGGTCAGGAGTTCAAGACCAGCTTGGCCAACACAGTGAAACTCTGTCTCTACTGAAATACAAAAATTAGCTGGGTGTGGTGGTGCATACCTGTAACCCCAGCTACTCAAGAGGCTGAGGCAAGAAGGATCACTTGCACCTGGGAGGCAGAGGTTAGAGTCAGCTGAGAAGGAGCCATTAAGCTCCAGCCTGGGTGATGGCGCGAGACTTAGTCTCAAAAATAAAAAAAACAAAAAAACACACCTAAGTGCTGGGAGTTCTGGATACCGTGTGGCATGCAATTAATGGAAGAGAAAGCAAGTCTGATCCTGCGATGGTCCTTCAATAAGCCAACCGGGAAAGCTATGGTCCCCAATTATTCAATCAAACACAAATCCAGGTGTTGCTGTGAAGGTATTTGTACACATGATTAAAGTCTACCATCAGTTGACTTCAAACGAAGGAGATTATGCTAGATAATCTAGGTGACCCTAACCTTCGCACCTAGTTGAAAGGAGTTAAGAACAGAGACGAGTCCTCCCGCTAGAAGAAATTCTGCCTGAGGACAGCAGCTTCAGCCCATTTCCGGAGAGTCCTACCATGCCCCTCCTGACGGTCCGTCTTACAGATTTCACACTTTCCTAACCAGACGCACAACTGCGAAAGCGAATTCCTTACAGTAAATGTCCTATCCATCTCCTATGCGTTCTGGTTCTCTGGTTGAATCCTGACTGATACAGACGCCATTAATTCATTCAATGATCAAGAAACAGGGCAAACAACCATGCCAGGTGCCATGAGAGGGAAATGAAGAAGATGCAGCCCCTTCCCTTGAGAAGCTCACAGAGCCTGTCATCACCTATCACAAGGATGGTCAAAGCAGTAAGCGCAGCAAAATAGCACAATCGGGCATTATTTCTGAACCTACACAGTGGCTATAGAAAAAGCAAAAACATAACCTATTACTGCAGTCAAATGGCTGTCGCCTCATAGCGATAGGTAACATGACACTATCAGAAGACTAAAAAGAAATAGAGTTTCAACAATGCAGTTTAGCTATTTTAACATAAGGAAGAACAGCAGGTCCCGAAATTCTTAAAATATAGCAGCTTGGCAAACATTACCCACTGCATGAAAACTTATACCCAGGTTCCATCCGAGAACTGAGTAGGCATGCCCCACCACATTGGAACTCTGGCTTCAAAAAGAACTGGCCAGGCGCAGTAGCTCACTCCTGTAATCCCAGCACTTTGGGAGGCCAAGGCAGGCAGATCACCTGAGGTCAGGAGTTCGAGACCAGCCTGGCCAACATGGGGAAACTCCATCTCTACCAAAAATAACAAAAATTAGCTGGGTGTGGTGGTGCATACCTGTAGTCCCAGGCTATTCGGGAGGCTGAGGCAGGAGGATCCCTTGAACCTAGGAGGCGGAGGTTGCAGTGAGCTGAGATCATGCCATTGCACTCCAGCCTGGGGGACAAGAGCAAAACTCCATCTCCAAAAAAAAAAAAAAAAAGAAGAAGAAGAATCACCTTATTCTAGCAACAGTGCCAGAAAGGAAAGGACTGGGAGAGATCTGGGGGAAGGAAGCAAACAACAAAACAGCTGCAAATGTTTTTCTGAAAGAATATATGATAAATAAACATATATTTTCAAGTTCTTCAAAAGCTGTGTTAGAGGAAAAACAAATTCAAACTCAATGATATAAGACATACCATATATGTCTGCATATAACAAGTGCTCCATACACATTTGCTGATACAACTGGGACAGACCAAAGCTGAGAGAAGGGTCATAACCTGGTACAAAAGTAAGAGCATTTTTCTGTTACATTCTCCCAATTTTCTGTTGGTCACTTGCTTCTGAATTTCATAGTTTTGAAGTTGTAGGCTTGCCAATGGTATCCATAAAGATTTGGAAACACAAGATTTCTTTAAGGAAATCACAGTAAATCTCAAACAGGATACAGAGGAATGTTAGAAAATTTATTGAACACAGTAAATTGCATCCAACATGATCATTCTTCTTATACAAACTTTATCCCTTCCGTAGGCTTCTAGGTTAAAGTGTTTTTAAGTTCAGAGCATTGGCCAGTTGAGTGCAGAAAGGACACTTTTCAGGTGGCTGAACAGGCATTGCCATCTTAGTCTGTCATCTTCATACAAATTAAAGCCCCAGTTTCAAAGTCATTCAGTGACAACATGTGATGCTCCAACACTTGACATGTAATTCTACACGAAATACCACTTTATACTAACGGGGTTTCTGTACTAAAAAGACAATATGACACCAAGACGCCAGTCTATCCACTCCTACATCACTGCCCAGGTCTAGTTTTTAAATTTTTAAAAGCTCAAGATTGGGTGGGCTGCTCAATATAGAGATAAGCTGCTTACCACTGCATCCAAGAATTCAATGTGCCTCTTTAGGGTGGGTTTGGTATCACAGAACTGCCTGAAGAGAAGTCTTCCTATTGGTTGCTTGTCACAAAGACTGCTATAATCCTTTTCTGGGTGAAGAAAAGGGATGAGAAGCAAACAAATACAATCATTACAATCCACCACATGCTGTTCTAAGACTGTTTTCACAATATTTCTTCTTCTTCTTCTTCTTCTTTTTTAGACAGAGTCTCCTTCCTCTGTTGCTCAGGCTGGAGTGCAGCAACCTCCACCTCCCAGGTTTGAGCAATTCTCCTGCTTATCTGATAAGCATCTAATACTAGAATATATAAAGAAATCTTATACCTCAACAACAAAAAGACAATCCAATTTTTAAAATGAATAGAAGATATGAACAGACATTTCTCTAAAGGTTTACAAATGGCCCATAAGCATATGAAAATATGCTCAACATCATTAATCATTAGAGAAATGCAAATCAAAACACAGTAAGATACTACTTCATGCGCATTGGGATTAGGAAAAGTGGGAAAGATGTGAAGCAACTGAACACGTGGCTGATGGGACATAACGCGGTGCAGCGGTTTGGAAAAGAGTCTGGTGTTCCTCAAAAAGTTAAACACGGAATTACCATATGACTCAGCAATTCTACTTTTCTTTGAGACAGAGTCTCACTCGGTCACCCAGGCTGGACTGCAATGGCACAATCTCAGCTCACTGCCACCTCTGCCTCCCGGGTTCAAGCAAATCTCCTGCCTCAGCCTCCCGAGTAGTTTGGATTACAAGTGCGTGCCTCCACACCTGGGTAATTTTTGTATTTTTAGTAGAGATGTGGTTTCACTATGTTGGCCAGGCTGGTTTTATAACTCCTGACCTCAGGTGATTCACCTGCCTCGGCCTCTCAAAGTGCTGAGATGACAGGCATTGAGCCATCACACCCAGCCCAAAAATTTTTGTAATTTTAGTAGAAACAAGATTTCACCATGTTGGCTAGGCTAGTCTTGAACTCCTGACTTCAAATGATCCACCCGCCTCAGCCTCCCAAAATGCTGGGATTATAGGTGTGAGTCACCATGCCCAGCCAACAATTCTACTTCTGAAGACATACACAAAATAAGTGAAAGCAGTAACTCCAACAGATACTTGCACACCAACGTTCCCAACATAATTCACACAGCCGAAAACTGGGAACACCCCAATGTCCATCCACAGATGAACAGATAAGCAAAATGTAGTATATCCATGCAATATCCAACTTAATGTCACTCATCTGTACACTTAAAAACAGTTATTTTTGTTACGTATATTTTATCATGATTTTCAAAAGCCTCGCACATAAATACTCATAGCAGCATTATTCGTAGTAGCCAAAAGTAGAAAACTACTCAAATGTCTATGAACTGATGAATGGATAAATAAAATGTGATATATCCACATAACAGAATGTTATTCAGCAACAAAAAAGAACGAAGTACTTTGACAATATTATGCTAAGTAAAAAAAGCCAGTCACAAAAGACCACATAGCACGTGATTCCCTTTTATGTGAAATGTCCAGAGCAGGCAAAGACATAGACAGAAAGTGGATCTGGGGTTGCCCAGCTCTGGAGGTACAGGGGGGAATGTGGAGTGACTGCCAATGGGCGTGTCGTTTCTCTCCGGGGTGCTGAAAATGCTGTCAAGTTTATTGTGGTGACAGTGTCACAACTCAATATATTAAAAACTACTAAATTATATACTTTAAATGGATAAGTGGCATGGCGTATGAATTACATCTTCAGGAAGCAGTTGTTTAAAAAACTTAGTGGAGTTAAAACAATGGGGGAGTTAAAACAATGAGTGAAATAATAGCTCCTTTATGCCACCTGCAACTCATTTTGATAATTACTTCAACTTTCTTTAAAAGGAACCACAAGAGTATTAAAGGAAAGATGAATTGGTTTGTAGAAATAATCTTGGAATAAATGTGTCCTGCCGGGTGCTGTGGCTCACACCTATAATCCCAGCTCTCAGGGAGGCAGAGGCGGGAGGGCAGCTTGAGCCCAGAAGTTCGAGACCTGCCTGGGCAATATAGCGAGACTCCGTTCTTTTAAAAAATAAAAATAAGGCCGGGCACGGTGGCTCAAGCCTGTAATCCCAGCACTTTGGGAGGCCGAGGCGGGTGGATCGCGAGGTCAAGAGATCAAGACCATCCTGGTCAACATAGTGAAACCCCGTCTCTACTAAAGATACAAAACATTAGCTGGGCATGGTGGCACATGCCTGTAATCCCAGTTACTCAGGAAGCTGAGGCAGGAGAATTGCCTGAACCCAGGAGGTGGAGGTTGCAGTGAGCCGAGATCGCGCCATTGCACTCCAGCCTGGGTAGCGAGCGAAACTCCGTCCCAAAAATAAAAAATAAAATAAAAAGGAATAAATGTGTCCTTCCTACAGATAACACAAAGCTCAGAAGCCAAGAAGAAAAAGACTGACATATTTGTCTCTATAAAATACTAAAACGTCTGTATGAAAAAAGACACCGTATGCCAAAGGGAAAAAAAGCAAATTTGTAAGATATATCCACATTGGATATAAAAGGATAACTTCTTTTATACATAAAGGCCTTTTACAAACAAATTAGAAAAGAGGGTGGATCACAAGGTCAAGAGATCAAGACCATCCTGGTCAACATGGTGAAACCCCGTCTCTACTAAAAAAAATACAAAAAATTAGCTGGGCATGGTGGCGTGTGCCTGTAATCCCAGCTACTCAGGAGGCTGAGGCAGGAGAATTGCCTGAACTCAGGAGGTGGAGGTTGCGGTGAGCCGAGATC